TCAGCAAAACTAAAAGGCAACCGACAGAATGGGAGAAGATATTTGCAAATGACATATCAGATAAAGGGTTAGTATCCAAAATCTATAAAGAACTTATCGAACTCAACACCCAAAAAGCAAATAATCCAGTGAAGAAATGGGCAAAAGACATGAATAGACACATCTCCAAAGAAGACATCCAGATGGCCAACCGACACATGAAAAAATGCTTATCATCACTCATCATCAGGGAAATACAAATCAAAACCACAATGAGATACCATCTTATACCTGTCAGAATGGCTAACATTAACAACTCAGGCAACAACAGATGTTGGTGACGATGCAGAGAAAGAGGATCTCTTTTGCATTGTTGGTGGGAATGCAAGCTGGTGCAGCCGCTCTGGAAAACAGTCTGGAGGTTCCTCAAAAAACTAAAAATAGAACTACCCTATGACCCAGCAATTGCACTACTAGGCATTTATCCAAGGGATACAGGTGTGCTGTTTCGAAGGGATACATGCACCCCATGTTTATAGCAGCACTATCGACAAGAGGCAAAGTATGGAAAGAGCCCAAATGTCCATTGATAGATGAATGGATAAAGAAGATGGGGTTCATATATACGGTGGAATATTACTCGGCAAGCAAAAAGAATGAAATCTTGCCATTGGCAACTACGTGGATGGAACTGGAGGTTATTATGCTAAGTGGAATTAGTCAGAGAAAGACAAAAACCATATGACTTCACTCATATGAGGACTTTAAGAGACAAAACAGAGGAACATAAGGGAAGGAAAACAAAAATAATATAAAAACAGGGAAGGGGACAAAGCATAAGAGACTCATAAATATGGAGAAGAAACTGAGGGTTACTGGAGGGGTTGTGGGAGGGGGGATGGGCTAAATGGTAAGGGGCATTAAGGAATCTATTCCTGACATCATGCTGCACTATATGCTAACTAATTTGGATGTAAATTTTTAAAAATAAAAAATAAAAGACAATAAAAAGAACATGCAATTTACAATAGTGTGTATGTATGAAGCCTAGGAATAAATCTGATGAAAGATGTGCACATCCTTTAAGGGAGACCTGGATGAGTGGGTACATGGTTAGGGTGGAAGGCACGTCTAACCCTCCTGCGGTGGACCCAGCAGAGGTGCCGACAGGCTGATTCGAGGGTTTGTAGGCAAGAGCAAGGGCCAGGAATAGGCAAGACACACCTGAAGAGGAAGCGGGGACCTCAGCAGTGCAGACTGTCCACAGCTGTCGTGGTGAGGACACCAGGGTGCTGGTCAGATTCACACTGACCCACAGAGCCAGCCGCACACTCAGACGCGGGTCCGTCGTGGAGGGAAGGGTGCCGTGTGCAATAGGAAGATCACCAGAACCCGGCCCTGCAGACACCTTGCAAGACATCCAGACTGCAAAAGTAAATGTCTGTTGTTTGTGTGCTGCCCACTCCGCCGTGTTCTGTTATAGCACCCTCCGTGGCCAAGATGGTTTCAAAACAAAAAGTTAAAAATTTGAAAGTGAAACGGGGTGATCAGTCGTAGAGGCCGCACTGGCCTCCCTTGGAGGTGAGGTGCAGCCTGTGGGCCCCTTGAGAAGGGGGTGGCCCCATGCTGTGGGTTCAGACTCACCCAGCCATCTACTGGCGTCCCCTTTCCCTGGAGCAGCAGCCTGGGCTCGATCCCCCTGGCACCTCCTGGCACCCACAGGACGGATGGGTCCTCCTCCATCGTCCAGATGGCTGCTCTTTATCCTTCTCTCGAGACAGAACGGCGCACACCATGGCCTCACCACCTTCCCTGTCTGCTCCTGGCTTCCCTCTGCTGTTCAGGTGAGGTGAAGTCAGGTCAGGAGGGCTGTCCGCTTGCTCCCCGCCCCCCTTTCTCTCATGAGCCCTGCTGCTTACACCTCGCCCGCACCATCTGGCCCTTCTGTGGAGACCCACGATCTGGTCCCGCATCTGGCCCCGCCGTGCTCCCTTCTCTCTCTGCCCGCCCTCCTCCCTGCCCCCCTCCAGCTCTCCGCCTCTGCCTCTGAGGCAGTGACATCCTCGTGTGCCCCACAGCGGCGCCCCATCCCTTCCTCGCAGACTGGCTCCACACTGTGCTGTGCCGGGCACCCACACCCAGGTGCTGGCTGAGATGGGGACCCAGGACCCACCTGGCCCTCCCCACTGGCTTCCGGAAGCATCTGCTGACCCTGAAAGAGGCCACAGAGCCTCAGTGATGCTGGGAGTACACAGTAAGTTATGTGGCTCACGCTCCTCCCAGTATGGGGAGTCCAGTCCTGAGAGAGCGAGCCCCCCTGTGCTCCCAGCTGGAGGCCTCCAACTACCCCAGCAGTAATGAGGGTTGTGCCCATCACAGGGTTCTGGAGCAGTGGAAAGACTCACAGACACAGAACCTCCACACGGCAGAGAGGTCTGTGGCATTTAAAGGGTTATTAATTGGTGTGAAAACTGGAAGCAGAATAAAAATGTGCCAGATGTCAGCCAGACACAGCCTGATATCACACATACAGGCATTAAAATTGCCTTATTCCTGGGGCACCAGGGTGGCTCAGTCGGTTGAGTGTCCAACTCTTGATTTCAACTCAGGTCATGATCTCGGGGTCATGGGATTGAGCCCTGTGTCAGATTCTCTGCTGAACGTGGAGCCTGCTTGGGATTCTCTCTCTCCCTCTGCTCCTCTTCCCTGCTTGAGTTCTATCTCTTCTCTCCTCTCCTCCTCTTCTCTTCTCTTCTCTTCTCTTCTCTTCTCTTCTCTTCTCTCTCTCCAAAATAAAAAATAACAATAAAATGTCCTTGTTCTGAATAGCTTCAGTTTGCATACCTTGTTTTCCAAGTCCTCTTTTGCATTAAAAAACTTAGCAGGATGAAAGCTGTATCCTTGGGGTGGGTGGGGGCACCCTGGGGGCCCCTGGAGGAAATGGCTCCAGAACACCAAGACACATCCCAGCTGGGCCCACTATAGAGACAAGGGTGTCCACTCCTGCTGCAGGCGGATGGACGGACTGAGAGCAGCCAGGCTGTGTCCAGGTTCCTCCGAGGCCAGCTTGGCACAAGACTCCCCAGAGGGCTCCTGGGGGCTGGACAGTAGTGAGCATGTGGAAAATCTGGAGTGGGACGTCAGTTTGGCTTGGGTTTCTTGTATAAGTGATAGGATTTCTTGTATTTGGGAGCCAGTGGTGTGAGAAGGGGTCTGATACTGGGTGCGAGGGTCTACAGACCACCCCCGCCCCCTGCCATTGGGTGGACCACGCAGCAGCTGGACTGTGCAGTAGCTGGGGACACGGGGCACCGCTTGAGGTGCAGTGGGCCTGGGGTTGGAGGCAGCCCTCTTCTCCACTCCAACCTCCCTGTCCTGGGCCAGGCTGCAGGAGCCCCTTGAGCCCTGAGGCCGGGACCCCCCTCTAGCCAGGCTGCAGGAACCCCTTGTCCACGGAAGCCAGCGTACCCCGCTGACACCCCTTTCGCTCTTTCTCAGGCTGGAGTGGGTGGAGATCATCGAGCCGCGCACCCGAGAGCGCATGTATGCCAACCTGGTCACGGGCGAGTGCGTGTGGGACCCTCCTGCCGGCGTCCGCATCAAGCGCACCAGCGAGAACCAGTGGTGGGAACTGTTTGACCCCAACACTTCCCGCTTCTACTACTACAACGCCAGCACTCAGCGCACCGTGTGGCACCGGCCGCAGGACTGTGACATCATCCCCCTGGCCAAGCTGCAGACGCTGAAGCAGAACACTGAGTCACCCCGCGCCTCGGCGGAGAACAGCCCCGGGCGGGGCAGCAGCGTCAGCCACGAGGGCAGCACCAGCTCCTCCCTGGAGCCCGAGCTGGATGCCGGCGAGAAGGTGCAGGAGCCTTTGGGGAGGGCCAGCCGGCAGGCCGCTTTCGGGGCTCTGAAGGAAGAGAGCAGCAGGTGAGGCGGGTGGGTGGCCAGACCCTCAAGTGCCAGGTGGGGCCTGAACCTCATGCAAACAGCTGCTGCACCAGCTGCCACCCTTGCCCCCAGAATGCTCTTGTCTCCGTTTGGCAAGAGCCTCTGCTGGGGATGAGGAGGGCCAAGGTCTGTCCCCTGCTGGGCGGCCTCTGGAGGGATGGGGGCTGCCACGCTTGTCTTTTCCAGACAGGGTTGTCAGGAGGCATTGGGCTGGGGGTCTTCTGGCTAATGACTGTGAGATCATTGGGTTCTGTCCACTGTGGGAAGCATGAATATGGCATCAGCACCCCTCAGATGTGCCCTGTATCCCAGGTGCCCCACACCCCAGGGCCCACACCCAGCAGGTGCTGCTCCAAGCCTGGAACTCAGGGAGCCAAGTGCAGAAGGCATGGTTGGTCAGGAAGATGATGGGACGGTGTGTGCCCTGGTGACAATGAGGTGACAAACCAGGGAGGTTGTAGGGATGCGATATTGGCCTTGGAGGCCAGGCAGGGACAGGGAGGTAGCAATGGGACAGGCAGGGCCAAAGGCCGGGCAGGCTGCTTCCACTCAAGGACAGTGGAAACCACAAAGTGACCAAACGTGGCTTATGCCTCAAGGTCCATGTTGCTCCTGTGGAAAGGATGTCCAAGGGGCCAAGCGTGGAAACAGGGCTGGTTGGCAGCCATCGGCAGGAACTGGACATTCCATTCCTTTGTGGCATGGTCAGGTGGGTGTGCTAGCAGATTTGGGGTGCTCTTTGGGGCCGGACAGCTAGCTGTGGTGCTCCTACATGGCTGGGGAAGATGGGGCACGTACAGGGGTCAGACCAGTGTGGATGCTGGTGCTGGGGGGCAGAAATTTCCTTCTTTCCTCCCAGGATTCTTCCAGCTGGGTTAGGAATTAAATTGACAGAAGATAGGTTAACAGGAGAAAAAATAAAGTTTTATTTGGTGCACACAGAGGTCCAGTAATGAAATTGAGACCCCAGGAAATGACCAAGGCAGTAGTTCTTATATATTTTAGGCAAAGAGACAATAAATTTGTGAGGAATTGATAGGGTAAAACAGACTTTTGCAGGGTGCGTGAGTGGCTCTGTTGGTTAAGCGTCAGTTAAGCATCTGACTCTTGTTCTTGGCTCGGGTCATGATCTTACGGTTGGTGAGTTCAAGCCCCACGTCAGGCTCTATGCTGACAGCTCAGAGCCTGGAGCTTCGGATTCTCTGTCTCCCTCTCTCTCTCTGCCCCTTCCCTACTCACACTCTGTCTCTCTCCCACTCTCAAAATAAATAAGTAAACATAGAAAGAAAGAGAGAGAGAGAGAGAGAGAAAGAGAAAGAAAAAGAAAAAGAAAAAAAAAGAAAAAGAGATCTTTGGGAGCTTTGCCAGTGAGGAATTCTAAGCACAACGTGAGCTGGGGTAGTGGACTAGTGAAAACACCAACAAGGTCTATTTCTCCAGCTTTCTCAGGTATGAAGCCCACATCTCTGGTGATAAGGGTGTCTTTTTACTTCTTAGTACAGGGAGGGCATTTTTCATGTGGGAGGTTTACTTCCTGCTCTCAGGAGACAGAGGTGTGTCTGATGACCTTACACCGGGGTTTCTCAAGTACCTTCGGTGCAAAAATAATAATCAGTTTGCCATCGTGGTACATTTTGAGGTGGCCTGCCCTGGGCCCCTGCATTGGACACACCAGAGGTCATAGGCCAAAGAGGCAGTGGCCAGGTGGCATGAGGAGGTTCAGAGGGGCTTTTGGGGGTTGTCCCCAGAAAGTGGCGCTTCCGCTGGTGAGGTTGAGGAACCCCAGGGATGAGCACTGTGGAGAAAGCAGACGGGTGCGTGGGCTCCACCTCTGGCTCCCTATGAGGCCCACGCTGTGCAGCAGCCCAAAGGCCTGCCTGAGCTCTCTCCGACCCAGCAGCTCCAGCAGCCTCTGGGCTCATCAGATAAAGTCTCACTTTTATTGGATTGTGATGCTTTTGAACTCTTTATCCTATTGGTTGCTGCCTCATCTCTGTAATTAGGTGGACAGATTGGATTCTTTTTAGGATTCTGTTCACAAATGTGTCTGTCACCCACACTCTGGGCACCGACTGGAGAAGCGGGCCACCCTTCTCTGCCCTGCACCCTGCTACCTGGGGGCCGGAGTATCCTTTCCAAGTTCCTTGGATGTTCTGTGGGGTTGTGGGGTTACTGGGTCAGTGTGGGGCCAGGATTTCTACAAGAAGCCCTCTTTGATTTGGAGTACAACTGTGTTGAGTTTATGGATCAGTTTAGGGGAAATGGGTGTCTCCATTGTCTTGTCTTCTCCCACGTTAAGATGGTATGTGTTACACTTCTCTCCACAAAGGGCTTGCATGTTTTTTAAGGTTTATTTCCAGGTGCTTTATATATTTTATATTTCTTTTTTCTTTGTTTTTTGAGATGTTTATTTATTTTTGAGAGTGAGTGAGAGTGGGGTAGGGGCAGAGAGGGGCGGGGGCAGAGGATCCAAAGTGGGCTCTGCGCCGACAGCATCAAGCCTGATGTGGGGCTCGAACTCGTGAACCACAAGATTGCGACCCGAGCCGAGTCGGATGCTCAACCGCCGAGCCACCCAGGTGCCCCTACATTTCTTTTTAAAGTCCTGCTTGGGGTGCCTGCATGGCTCAGTCCGTTAAGGATCTGACTCTTGATTTTGGCTCAGGTCGTGATCTCATGGTTTGTGACATCGAGCCCCGCGTCAGGCTCTGTGCTGACAGCACGGAGCCTGCTTGGGATTCTCTCTCCCTCTGCCCCTCCTGGACACTTGTACGTACACTTGTTCATTCCCTCCCTCTCTCTCTCTCTCTCTCTCTCTCTCAAAATAAATAAACTTAAAAAGTAAAAATAAAAAAGTCCTGTCTTCTCCTCATTCCTGGTGCATGCACACAGATTGTTATATATCAGTCTTATTTCTGGGCTCTTGCTGATCTAACACCAGGCCTGGCCTTGTCCCAGCGCTCAGGCTGCATACCTATACCTGTTATGCTGTGACACTGTCAGGTACAGAAAGTCCACCTTTACTGTCAGGTTCTTTACTGTGAGTGGATGTACCATTTTATCAAGTATTCTTTTTGACTCTATTGATATCAGTGTTATAGGTTGAACTGTGTCTTCCCCCAAGGGAAGTCCTAACCCTCAGGACCCCAGGATGGGCCCTTATTTGGAAATAGGTCTCTTCAGATGTAGTTAGTAGAGTTGTGATGACGTCACATTGGAGGAGGGTGGGCCTTAGGTAGGACCCGTGTCCTAGTGAGAACAGAGACACGAGGAGAACACCCTTGGCAATGGAGCCAGAGACAGACGGATGCGTCTGCAAGCCAGGGGACGCCCAGGGTCGCCAGCACCACCAGGAGCCAGAGAAAGGCCGGGAGTAGTCAGAAGGAACCAGCCCTGCCCACAGCTAGAGCTTGGACTTTCAGCCTCCGGAACTGGGAGAGAATGACTTTCTGTTGTTTTAAGCTGCCAGTTTGCTGCGCTTTGTTAACAGCGGGCCCGGGACCCAGCCGCAGTCAGCATTTAATTCTATGTTTCTTGCATTCCTAGAATACCCGGTCTGTGTCATTTTCAAAATAGATTCAGAGTGCTAATATTTTTTTGAGGCTTTTTTCCTGTGTTGATAGGTAAAACTGGCCTGTACTTTCCTTCTTGTGTGTTTGGGAGCGTGTCCTCTGAAACGCCCTGCTTCCAGGTTGTCTGGCTGCACACTTACACACCACCTGGGCCTGTGGCTGTGTGAATATGTTTTTAACTACTGATTCAGTGTCTTGAATATGCACAGGAATATGCAGGTTTTTTGACATCTCAAATCCAATTTTATAAAGTGTTTTTTTTTTTATATTTGAGAGAGAGAGGGCGCAAGTGAGCGAGGAGGTGGGGGGGTGCAGAGAGAGAGAGAGAGAGAGAGAGAGAGAATGAGAACATCATGCAGGCTCCACACTGTAAGTGTAGAGGCCAGTGTGGGGTTTAAACCCATGAACCTTGAGATCATGACCTGAGCCAAAATCAAGAGTCAACACTTAACTGACAGAGCCACTCAGGTGTCCCCAATGGTAGATCTTTTCTGACTTAAAATTTTTTTTAAGTAATCTCTACACCCAACATGAGACTCAATTTCATGACCCCAAGATTAAGAATTGCACGCTTCACTGACTGAGCCAGCCAGGCGCCCAAAATATTTTCTGATTTTAATTAAGGTTTTTTCCTTGACTTGTTCATAACTTACAAATGTCTTAATTTTCAAAACTATAGGGTTTTTTTTTTTTCCATTCTTGTTCTTTATTGCCAACTTAATTTCATTTTGGTCAGAAAGCATGGTTTTTGTTTTTATTTTTGTTTTTGAGACTTGCTGTGGCTTAAATCCTGAATTTTTGTAAATGGTTTTACAAAATTTCAAAATAATTTCAAAAATATTTTCTTTTCCGTGTTTGTTAGGTCTAGGGTTCGTTAGATCAAGTCTGTTGTTTTGTTGTTGTTGTTTAAGTTTATTTATTTATTTTGAGTGATAGGGGCAGAGAGGGAAGGAGAGAGAGAGAGAGAGAATATCCCAAGCAGGCTCTGCAGTGTCAGCACAGAGCCAGATGCGGGGCTTGAACCCACCAACCATGAGATCATGACCTGAGCCGAGATCAAGAGTCGGCCACTTACCCAGATGTGGCTCAAACACATCAAATCTGTTGCATCGGTCCAGTTTCTTGCTGATTTTTTGTCTGCCTGATGTATCACTTCTGAAGAGGTAGATTCGCCTGTTTCTCCTTTTAATCTGTCACTGCTTCCTCTGTGTTGAAGCTGTGGATTGCACATGAATTTAGGACTGTTATGTTTTCCTGGGGAATTATTCCTTTAGTCATTATGTCATCACGTTTTTGCCTTGAATTTGGCTTGCTTTGATCCTGGCATAGCATTGCTGTTTCTCATTGGTTGGTATTGGCCTCTTAACATCATTCCCCAAACTACTACCCTTTCCTTATACTTTGAGT